GGCCTTCTGCTCATTCAGAGCGGAACGACCCCAGATGTTTTCTTTAATAAACCGAGGTATAAAGCCCGTGAAGACGATGACAACCGTGAGCAAACATCCTCCCATACCCATATACGCTAGGTATTTAATAGAAATTGTGAAAAAACGGCGTCATAGCTCTCCGGCACTCACTTTTTCCTTCACCAAATTTGCGGTATAGCCACGGAGAAACAACTACAGCTTTAGGAAGCCATATTGGGGCCATATCTTTGGGTTTTGTCTATCATACTTATCTGTTCCTTGGCGGGAATCAAATGCTCGAAACAAGTTACAACCCCGAAATACCCAACTCGCTCCCATCGCCTTTCAAAGGAGTGCCTTTCTAGAATCATTTCATTTATTGAACATGCCCTCTAGAAATCAAACTCCTGGCAAACCAATTTTCTAAAAAATATCGAGTAGAGCCAGCTCAGAGTGCAACAAAGCTCCCCTAGCGCTTTGTCACCCTCTGGGGTGCCCGGGATAATGCATGAACTATCGTGATAGGCAGGTTCTCCTAGTTCATCCTTAAGTCTCCTGGTGTAACCTGGCTGGCTCTGCCCCCAGGCTTGAGGGGAGAGTTCCGGGTAAACACTATTGTCGCCATTACTATTTCCAGTATTCAACTCGCCCCAGAGTACAGCTCGAGGCTCGCTAGTATAAAAGTGGCCCCCTTCCTTCGATCGCTGGGCCACAACCCTTGGGGCCTAAATAACCAACGACCTGCATTTTTTCTGTCCTTCTCGCAAGATGCTTGTTGCTACGGCTATCGAATTTGGTGTGGTAGAGCAAATATCGGGAGTAGATAAGTGTACGGTTATAGAAATTATGACACCATGGGAGAGCGCTGCTCAAGACTGGGGTATCGTGTCCGGTCTGGAAAGTGGGGGGGGGGTGGGATGCGGTGGACAGGAGGCAGGAAAAGAAGGGCCTCCAAAATTTATCAGACAAGGGAGGAGTTGCAAAAAAAAAAACGAAGGAAACTGCCGTTTATTCTATTGTACTTACGGGCACAGGTAGAGACGATCGATTACCGAGAATCTGCCTTCGTATTAAAGCATCGGAGTTGTTTGTTACCCAGAACAATTGTGCTAATTATCCGCTTATTTCCATGGGAGATGGACTCTGTTGGACTTGACCTGTCGTTGAAGAACCTGCTATGGCAGCCCATACCCTATGCAATTAGCTATGAATGCAATCTCCAACCCGGCCTCTGAAGTCAAAAATCCTAACAAAATTTACATAGCCCCCTCTCTTTACACCTCAGATGCATAGAACAAACGGTCAGGCCTACTCTCCATCCATACTTCCCCAAGATATTGGGCCTTTTAGAAATCTAACTTCCCCCCAATTTCTCGTGTCTCTAGACAAGGCCAGACATCAAAAGACCTTACCGCCATTGTTGGTGCAGCCCCAGATTTCTCACGGAATTTTACGATGGGGTTCTATCGGAGCATACCGAAGCGCATATCCCGACAAACAGCGGCCGATATACCTTAACAGATGCTTTTTAATCCGATCTTTCAGATCACAAAAGAGAAGGGAGGCCCTAATACATCAATGGAAACTCCCTCTTAAAGTCGCAAATTTACACTGATGCCAAACAAGAGAGGGTCGGCGGATTGGCTATAGGGCGGAATTGCTAATTGATAATGGTGAGAACGCTAACTAGGAAAATATGCGCGTTACCTGCAATATTAGGGACTACCCGCAACTGCATAGTCTCACTCATAGCGATGCAGAGATGCTGGATGAACAAGAGCAACGGTTTATTCTCTAAGGGCCATGGAGTGAGACTCCTGATTTATGCCAGGGGTGTGGGCCTTATCCTATTATCATTGTTTCCGCTGCCACAGCAGGATGGCTCACTCCCGAGGGTATGATACTCAGACCATACAAGCGCTACACTACACTCTGCACAAGCCATACAGGTTATCATTGGGTGGCCGAAAATACCCAAAAGTGGCCCTCTATTCTTAGGTATAAATTCCCTCCCCTCAAGAGTAATTCCCGGGCTTATCTGAACCTTGACCCTGCGACCAAACAATGTCGGGCTACTTGTTATCTGTCGCACATTAACCCAGAATACCAGCGGGAAGATCCTGGCCCGTGGCTAGTCCGGGCAGGCGGTTTTCCTAGAATCCGAGTTGACAATTTCGGGGAAGAGATTTATATCCGACCGCGCGGCACCCGTGCGAATAACATTAGTGCCGCAATGTATCGCTTGAACGAGATTGGCAAAAGTGGGAACTAGCAGCAAGTATGGAGTGACAAAGGTACGGAATGATGTCAGAATCCCGAAAAGATGATCGTGAGCAAAAAGGAATTCTGGACCTCTGATTAGAGTTTTGATGGCTTGAGCCTAATCTCCGTGTTATGATATACTAGCCTCTGTTTTCTGATCCTTCTAACGCAGGCCCCCCATGTAACCGGGACTGACAGCGAGCATCCGTGCCGGGTTGCCCGGATAGCTTTTCATTACTGCGCCGCAGTCGATACCGATATCTGGCAGCCCTATGGGGAGGTATTTCTCGGGCAAGGAAATAAAGCCTGCTAGGCACCGGGCAACCAGGGTGGCTGAAATTATCATGAGGTGTACAACAAGTAGCCAATTCCATGATCAAATTGCAAGACCCAAGGTGTGGCGATTACACATGTCTCGCTCTCACCTGCTGCCCTGCGATCCGTCTGCCATATAACCTTCAGGAAACGCTGGGTTGCTGTACAACAAGAGTTTGTGTACAGCACTTGTCCTCCAGTATAATCTGGATGCGGCAGAGCTACTCATCTACGATGGACCGGAGCGCGACACACAGGAATCTACGATTGGAATACCGTAAGGTCCGGATTTCATTCGGGTCGATTCCCCCCCTACCCCAAGAGAGGAATTCTAGACGCCTTCCGGTAGTGTGAGGTCCGGTTGCTCCGGCCTTTACGGTGCCGTAGTAGTGTGGAATGTGATATTGAGTAAGTGGTTTTATCGGATTTGAAAACACGCACGTCCGGACTCCAGGACCGAGACCAGGGGGAGTTAGGGACCAGTGCGAGGCCCAAGCGAGTCATGATATGGTTCCGGAAGACTAGCCTCTAAACCAGTTTTGACCCAAAAAGTGTGACAATTTTCCATGCAACGCTCGGCGTAACACTGCCAAGGCTTTCTGCACAGCCACTCAGGTTACCCAACCTAAATTCCCCAAGTATTTTGGAATCTATGATAGTTTAAAATCTACTAAAGGTAACTATAAGGAAGATACTTTCAGTTGTTATTTATTAAGCATACTATGATAGTATAACAAATAATTATGTGGAATTTATGTACCAGACCTGATAGTAAGATAAAATCTAATT